CCACATAATCCAAGTGCCAATTAACAAATCTCATGATTGCCAAATTACTTCCATATTTCCTCTTCAGATCCGGAGACTAGACTAAAAGCAATTTGTCAAGAAATTGCTTCCCTTCCAAGTTACTTCACTGTTGTTTTTTTACCATAATGCTGCACCAGAATGTATCATCTCTATGCTTTGCTAATGAAACAGTAAGTGATCACCTTTGGTACCCTACTTCCTATGAAAGCAAATGTACACAGAACAAAATCATCACTGATAATAGCATCTATTCCTTTGTCCTTATTGGTATTGCTCCTCTTTTTTTTTTTTTTTCCCTCTTATTATGGTACCATTTTAACCTTAATTAAAAAAAAAACCAAACAATCAAAAGTGCCATATTCTTGTATCTTCTGTACTTGATAGCTTCTGACATTCAAAAAAAGAAAGACGACTGGCCTGCCAGAAGTCAAAGAATCTGCAAAAGTCTCCAAATATCTGGGGGATAGTGGATGACACATAAAAACAGTCATTTGCTGCCAAAGGGGAAAGACTGCTTTGGCTTTGGTTTTGCAAGTCTCTGTACCTATGCTTTTATTGCATTTGGTAATATATGGAGTGATTTAAAGCAAAATGAAGTGAGTGAAAGGACTCCCAGAAGTTTTGGTGAGCTTTGAATGAGCCTTTTTTTCTGCACAGATTGTTCCCTGAGGACAGAAAACGCATTAATTAAGCCCTGTGCATTAAAGCTACGCAATATGAATGCTATGCAACTGTGTAAAATACAATTGCCATCACTTGACTTAAAATATCCTGAAATGTTTTGCTTTATGGAATTAAAAATAACTCATTTTCTTGGACTGTTGTTGCTAAGGTTTGGTTTATGTAAGTGTTTTAAGAAGAAAGCAGTCTGAAAAATACACAACTGGCACAGCAGAGAACCCATTATTCTTTCAAATGCCTCTTTTGAAAATCCTTTCAAACTTTTTATTCTGTTGATTCAACAGGAGAGCCATTTACAAGTAAAAAGAATAGCAAGAAAATGGTGCTTCAAAGCTCTGAAGAAAACAACTGTTTTGTAACACTTCTTAACAATTCTGCACTACCGGCCCTTGAATCCCCCCTGCTTTACTCCCCCAGCTTATACACATCTGGGACTGTAAGTAAAGATAGATGTCCTGGGGTCCCTTGTGGTGCCCAGACAATCCTCAGTCCCTATTTTGATGGATACATGGTGCCCTCTGGGTCCATGGAACTGGTGCTTCCAGAGGACAAGCACGTGCTGGGCCCTGCCTGGATGTACAGTCGCTCACATCAGGTTCACAATTGGCGCACCCTGGAGCTCCTCTGCAGAGGCAAAGCCCAGCACAGCCCAGGTGCAAGGGATGTCCCTGGCTCATGCCCAGGACTCACACAGGGAGCTCAGGGTTAGCTGGAGATTTCCCTGTGGCTGTGTGGTCACAGTGATTGCCCAGCTGGCACCCAGGATTTCTGCTCAGCTGGCTGATCGGCATGAGCCACTGGTGCAGCTGGGTGCACAAACATTACCCAGATGGAGTTCCTAAGTGGAAAGGGAGGATGTGACCAGGGAATTCAGGCATAAGAGTATGAGATGTGGGTAATACTTATACATATGGACATGTGGGAAGAGGAACTGATCATAGAAATCCTGCTATTTTGGGTCACCATTCCTGGGCATCCCAGTGATGGATTAGTCAAACTGGAAGTAGAGAATTCCATCCCAGCTTTCTGGATGAGTTCTTTACCACCCTCTAACACAGGGCAATTCAGGTAACATAATAATAACAAAAATAATAATAATAACAGATGCTGGACACCTCACAAGTTCTCTGTAACATACACAAAATAATTTCATCACTTTAAAAGAGATTGGCTCCATGGTGAATATTTCTCGGAATTTCACCCCCTATTCTTAGACAGCATTACAAAATACTCCAAATACAGTAATGCCACAGAAATACTACAAAATTTACCAAAGAAATATATTACATTTAGAAGAGTACATTCTAGATAATTCTCTTATATGCAGCAATTATAAGCTTCAGATTGAATTAATGGCATTCTTTCATTTCCTTTCATTTTCCTTTCTTTTCTTTTCAGCAATCTCAATCTTATGTTTAATTTTCAACAGCTGAATGCCTAATGTCTGTGTGGCCATGACCTACTATTATGAAATCAGTGTATGGAAATGAATGTTAATTATTAATATGGAAAAGAGCAATTTTAAGCAAACAGAATATTGTTGTGTTATCTTACACCAGGGTTGAGAACAATACATAGGTAATTGCTTCTAAACAGTAACACTTTAGTTATTTAGATAGTGACTTGGAAACAGACAAAAACCCTAGGAATCTTATCACAATTTTTCTTTGTCTTTCTTAGGTGAAGAAATTATTGCTTTTAAAGCTGGCAAGTTGTGATACTTTGTTGTTTTCTGTGGTAAAGCTCTATTAAAATAGAGAAGAATGGAAAGAAACCCTTGGCATGAAACTGGGTAAATTAAAGTTAAATTGCATAAATCTATATTAATAAGAACAGGACACAAAGAAGGATGGGGAAGTTATATCATATTCAATACTAGGCTGCTTTCACAAAGCAAAGTTCCATCTGTGTTTTTCAGTATTCTTGCAAAAATAACCCTCTTGAAATATCTTATTCTGTTAGACATTCATGCTAGGAACAACTTTTAAATGGATGTTTCATTGGCAGCCTAACTTCCTCTGTCTTGGCAATATGTAGACAGGGCTTAGAAAACCATTATTTTCAAACAGGGATTTTGAGGCTTCAGATCTGACAGTGATTTGATTCAATTATTTTCATATTTTTATTTCTAAGTACATTTCAGCTGGACAAATTTTATTAATAAATACAATTTTGATATTAAGTTACAGATGGGGTCTTAAAATAGCTAAATGCCTGGAACAACAATAGCAAGAAAATCTTGTTTCTATGTCTAAGGAATCAGGTAGTGGTGATTCAGGACCTGAATGGTGCCCATGTTTCTCCAAGCACCTGAATCATCCAAGGTGGGAGTCAGCTGGCTGGAACGCTGGCATTTACTTAAAATCACATTTTTAAGTCAAGTGATACACCTTCAAAAGCCCCCACAAGGATTAACTAACATATAGAGATCGAAGCTATAAAATAGAGCTCAGCTGAATTACACAGAAAAAATGCAACAGCCTGGCTGAAATGAGTTGTACTGGGCTCTCTGGTGAGATACTTTTCTTAGTGCCTGTTTTCTGGCAAAGGAACACAGCAGAATAGGAGAAGATGGAGTATGGGCAGACCACCACCATTCTCTGACACCTGATGAGATAAATGTATTTAATCCTGAGGCTAGAGAAGAATCTCTCCAATAATCAACATATCATGGTCAACATATTTTGTATCTTCCCATTGTTCCACTCAGCAAATACTTTTCTACTCAAACACAACAGAATGCAAAATGGAAAACATTCAGCTGGATCAAAGGCCTATGATGAAAACACCTTCTAGAGCATTTGGGGCACACCAACACTGCAGAGCCTTTTTTCAGGGCTTGTTTGCTAAGTAGGAAATGTGGGTGGGAATCTCCACTACGGTAATTCTATTATCTATACTTCTCAAGCCAGGCAATTTATAAGAAACTTGGAATATTTCACATGGATTCATGTTGTGTCATCTAGACACAGTTTTCAGTGACTCCAAACTTGCTATTTAAAGAGCCTATATGCTTCTTGCCAAGATTGTCTTTTCAGAAATTCTTATCAGAATCTTCACTGGTAATATGACAGAATTGTCTGAAGAAATGTTTAATAAATTTTCAATTTGAAATTCTGAGTTAATATATGAAAGGCTTTCAGTTTGCATGGAAAATTATGCATCTCTCCAAGTGAATAAGGGAACTAAATGTACTCACCAGATTTTTAAGTGATACCTTCTCATTACTAACAGGAGTAAGACAATCCATGCACTTTTTGGAGTTGTCCTATATTTTTGAAGTTTTCCTCTACTTGAACACTTGCATATTTGGAATGAGACCAAATGTGATACTGAGGGTGAAGCACCACAATATACAGCCTTCTTCCTTGGAATGGATCATGATCTACACAAACACTCAAAATTTGTGCTTTTCATTGATACTCTGATCTCAGTCCCTTTGATGCTGGACTGCTGGAAAAGGACTCTTCAGGGAGTGTATCTCATAACTCCTTAGACTATTGCAAACTTTCCTGCCTCTGAAATCCCTTCCAGAAAATTGTATGAAACCTTGCACATTAAATTTGGCTGGGAATGCTGTTATCAGAAGTATTTGGGCTGTGCCTATGCTAAAAAGAGCTGTCAGCCTGACTAAAGAGAGAATCCAGTCTGTAATCTGTAAATTCATCTACAGCATCTGTCCAGGATTAAAAAGACCACAAAATTTGAATGAGAGGATATTTTTGTGCATAGATAGGATGAAGGTCTTCAGCTGACACTGAATGAGTGGAATATGGACAAATTCTGCTGTGAAACAAAGACACCAGCAGTTCCATACGAAAAAGGTTCACCAAAGAAATCTTTTAGTTGCATATATGTTACAAACATGTATTTTATATGTACATTTCTGGGGGATATATTTATATATTCATTGGACTAAGTGCCATATCTAGAAACATCAAGGTATATGACAGTCTAACAGTCCAGTGTTTTTAAAGTCTCCAGTCTGAAAGAAATCCAGTAAGTTATCTAAATACCTCAGAAAACCTGGTTTCTAAACACTCAAAAATAAGTGTCAAAACTAGTAGAAACTCATTAAAAATTCATACTGCTGCACCATTCAGCCATCCACCAAAACAGCAGAAACATTCCTTAATTCAAATGCAAGGAAGGGTACTGCAAATTTAACATCACACTGTTACCACTTTCTCACTTATCCTTATCAGATGTATATTCACACAGATCTTCCTGAAATTTAAAAGAGTAGCACAAACATTTCTTATTAAGAGCAAATTCATGGTACAAAATTATTTCCTTACTTTTGGGAGGGAAGCTCTTGATCCTGAGCTTTGTGTGGTCATTGTCAAAACTGTAGTGATGCCCAGTGCAACTCTGGCTGGAGCAGCATCCATGTTGATCCAGAAAGAAACCCAGGATAAAATGACAATCAGCAGGCTAGGAATGTACATCTGGATTAAATAGTATCCCATCTGACGCTCCAAATGAAACTTGACTTCAATGCATGTAAACTTTCCTAGAACATGAAATTACTTTCATAAATGCTTTTTGCACATTGTTATCTTGTTTGCTGAACATGAGTTAGATGTGTGGCCTGTTTCCTAACCTAATACTGTAAGGAGATCCTGATACACAATCACTAGTCAGCCACTTGTTGCACACCAGCTTGGGTGAAGCATGGGAGTACTGAAGTATACTGTGCCCAATTCTTCATATTAACTGAGAAAATTAATATTAGCACAATTGTTTCACCTCCAGAAAATGTAACACAATGCTTCTTTTCTCAAAATTCATTGAGCTTTTATTTTAGTCAAATATAATTCTAAGTATTAAAAGGGGACAGCATTTTGGTCTTTTAGAGGCATGAGATTAAGCAATCGTGTTTGAACAGACAAATTGTAAACTACTACTCTTAGTCCTAGGGTAGATCACACTCCTCATTCCGCCAATGTCACTTGCCTCTGTCTGTCAATTATGTCTCACAGCAGAATCAACGCAAAGTCTACTTTGAATTTTGCTAAAAGTCTGACTCCAGGAAGCCTAACCCCATCTCTCATGGGAGGTGAGAGATTCTTCAGACAAGTGATAGCTGCTGCACAGCAGCCCTGGGGGACAGAGGTTTTGGGGTGCCTGACAGGAGAAGCAGCAGTGCAGCAGGAGATGCAGAGCCCTGAGCTGCAACAACTCATCAGCTACTAATGCAATCACCCTGTGCTGCTCTCAGAATTACTCTGGGCTAGGTACTCACTCCAGGCAGACTGCAGGAAGGCCTCTCATTCCTAAAGTGTCATGCTAATGGTTTCCAACTCTTTTGTGCTGGTTGGAAAATGAACAGAGATGCTTTTTTCCTCATTCACCCTTTCAGGGGAAATTAGACTGCTCCTATTTGTGCTGTCCCTATATTTTTCTGGTGGTCTACAATGCTGAATGGGGGGTGCAAGAGTCAGCACAAAGGGGAGTGCAGAGGCTGTTTGACAAAGAAAGGAGTGGAAGCTGAGTAATATCCTCTGACAGCCCAGAAGTTCTGTAATGAGTGAGCTGTGACTGGAAAGGCAGGCACTGAGACCTGGGCAGAGGCTGCTCCTGGCCAGGGGACTGGGGAGGGTGAAGGGCTGTGGTGGCCACCTGTGGCAGCAATGGCATCAGTAGCACCACCTGTCACAGGCTCTCCAGACTTCTGTGGCACAGCCTGGACAGTGAGTCTAGGAGAAGGCTGAGTAATAAGTTTTATCCACATTTTAATTTCACACTAAACCTGAAGGAGCAAACTACAGAGAAGACAGTAGTGGGGGTGCCAGTCAAAAAGTTCTCCTTCCTTGGTACTTTGGGCTCCAAAATGAGAGGCTGCATTTATAAAAATTAAACCAAACAATTTTCATAAGAAATAAATGTGATATTATTTTTGGCAGAGGCAGAACATCTCATATTGTATTATTTCATAGACTAAAACAAATGCATTTGATGCAACCAGATCAGCTCTTATGCTGAAATGATGAAAAAGCTATTTTAGATGAGAGGGATTATATTTAATCCCAGAAAGCACCCAGAAAACTGTTCTATAAATGCTGTCCCCATTAAATAAACTCCAAGCAGCTAAATCAAAATTTTAACAGAGTTTCCTCTTCTCTGTAAAACTAAAGATAAAAACCACAACATTATAGACTCCTAAACAACAAATGAAAGTACAAAACTTAAGAGTATTAAACAAACACCTAATTTCCCAGCATTCCATGTCTGTACACTATTCAGATCAGCAATGAAAATATTGTCTTTTCACATGCTACATATCATAAATTAGACTACACATAAAGGCTGGTGAAAATTTAATATTTTTCCTCATTGGAAATATGATATGCTGGAGAAATAAAGCAAGTTCAGAAAAATCAGCACTTTAAAAGTGATTAAAGAGTAAGGTTTTTTTAAATGTTTCATTTTAAGAATATCAAAACAATTAGATTTTTTTTATCAGTTTTTTTAATATTTTAAATACTTCAATGATTTTAAGGACATTAGAATACTTAAATGAAATTAAATTGAACTTTGAAATTAAATCTTCCAAAATAATAACAGAGAGAAAATTTCTTTCTATTCAGATTTAAAAACGTGTGACTGAATCCAAATTTAATTTAATTTTTTTTTCATTTTACCCATATTTTTCCATTACAAATTGACAATAGATGCCATTGGAACAACTGATAGAAAAAAATAGAATAATGCTCACCAGTGTTGTAATGCTTTGTGCAATAACCAAGTTCTTTATCTTCTTTTAAAATAAACTGTGGCAAAGTTAAACCCTCTGCAACTTGCACAGGTCCATCACTTAACCACTCAAATATCAGATCATTCATGGTGTAGCCAACTGCAATAAAGGAATCAGAGTTTATTAGATGGCAACTGACCAGAAAAGAGCAAATGTTGTTATGTCTTAGAAGCATGTCCTTTATTGCAACATGTGTTTTCTCAGTTACATTTTCAAACTGTTCAATTAACAGCACAATTCCTCTTAGTTGTCGGTTGCTGTAACTACACCATTACTTTATTAAAAGCAAGAAGTAAACACTGTTATATTCTGAAGTACTGCCCTGGTTTGCCACCAAAAACTCACTTTGCTAGCCCAAACCAGTCTAAGATTCTGTGGGCACAAAGGCAGGTGGCAGCCCACAGTTCATAGCCATACAGCTAAATCCTTTCTCCACTAAATAAAAAAAAAAAAAAATCAGGGTAGGCTGGTACCCACTGAATACTGGGAACGATCACTGGGACCTGCCAGAGCCTGAGCCACTGCTGGGTTTGTGTGATTGTTACCTGGGCAGGTGGAGGCAGTGCTCAGTGCTGAGGTGTGTGCTGGCACAGCATGGGGGTGTGGGCTGTTCCCCAGCCCATGCCTTGCCTGGGTGTAGCACACCAGCTTAGGAATCACTAATAGGAACTCTGCTTCTCAGGTATTTCACTTCCATTTCCCAAAAGTGAGCCTAACTCTGTCAGACATAGCAAAAATCCCTGGCTGTGTAATAATTGTTCTCACTTTTCTGAGGTGTAGTAATTTCTCCCACACAGGGTGGAGAATACAGGGAGAATTGCTGTATTTACCCCTGGAAGTGATGCACTTCTGATGGGTAAGGTGATGTGACCCAGGAGGGAGAAGGATAAGGGAGAAGGAACAGCACAGAAACAGGCAACCCTCACATTATGGTGATAAACATAATTCCCTTACAAAACAGGAATATTGAGTCTCACAACACAAATGTGATGATGTAAACACAATCTAATTACTGAATGTTAGGGTAAACACTTGTTATCTGATAGATAAGGCAATTGAGCACTCACAGCTCTCGAGCTGCATTGTACATGTCTGTACATCCATAGGAAAATTCTTCAAGTCCATGGGACAGGACAAGGTTAAAGTGAGCCTAAAATAAGAGGAGGAAAAAAATATGTTAGACATTTACAGATTTCATCTAAAGCCCCATACTTAGAGTTCAAAGGATCAAGACCAAATCTTAGCACCTCAAAGTCTGGGCTCATCTCCCCCTTGAGCTGTGGAGACAAAATGTGTGAGCAAAGCAGGCACTCACAGCCTGCCCTGGCTGAGCAGAGCAGAGGCAGAGAAGACAACATCAGCTTAGTAAGATATGTCCTCCACTAAAGCACCAGTGAATGTTTTGTGTACAATACTGAACCAAATAATCCAAAAGCTGAAATGCCTGGTTATGGGACACATGGTTTTAAGTTTTATCTTGGAAAAGCAAAAAAAAAGAGGAAACAACAACCACAGGGTTTTTTTAATAGACTGCTGTTGTTCTGTTGGAATGAGTCCCATTTCCAAGCCTTCATTCTTACTGCTCAGCCACTAAAAGAAGGAAAAACCATTATTCAGTAAAAAAATCACATTGCATAAAAGGAGCACAGATAGAAGAAAGTAAGCCTAAAGGAACATAATCATACAAAATATATTTCTATTTTAATTTTTCAGTTGTTGTTGTTCCAGATAAAGCATAACTTTACTTAAATGGGAATACTTTTAATGTTTCTTTCTTTTTTCTTCCTTTTTTTAGTTGCTTTAACCTTTTAACATTTGAAATCTATTTCAAGACCATCTCTTCTATTGTTTTTTTTCTTTTTTTTGTGTGAGAAGAAATCATTTTTAGCTAACAAAGATATTGAGATGGCCTAATTACAAACAACTACCTTTGATAAACAGTATAAATATTGGGATTTTGTTTTAAATGATATTTTTAAAGTACATTTTTATTTCTGATTACATTCAGTACGAAAAACCCCACTCTGAAACAAAGAACACCAAAAAAAAAAACACTCTGTGCCCATTTATTATGAAGGGCAGTAACAAGTCTGATTTGAAGGGACACTGAAACTGACACATTATAATGACAATAACTTTTTAGCTATGGCAGGGAACCCACAGGTCACCTGTTTAGAAGTATAACCCTGAAACAATGTTGTCCCACAAACGTATGTGATCTATACAGAGAAATACTTGACTAAATTCTCTCTCCAAAGATGATTTTGTGGTTCTTACCACATACAACTGATTCAAGGTCTTTCAAGTTTATTTCTTCACCATGTGAAGCTTTGGGGACTACCTGGCTGGGGCTTCTAGCCATAAAATCACTGTGACAAAAAGATGATATTTAGGTAACTGAAATCAAAATTTTCTCACCCAGATCTAAAACCACATTCAACATCACTGCTGTTGCCTACATGTGGGTTACCTAGAAAAAGTTACACTATTTTCATCTTGACACAGTCTTGACACAGCAAACAAGATGACAGTATCAGGAAATTAGAGATCACATTTATGTGGCAGTGAGATGAAGAAAAGTCCCCAGTCTCAACATCTTCATAGGAAATAAACTCACATTTAACCTTTGGGATCAAATAGCAGAAGTATTTAAAAAAAAATTCATCTAGAGAAAAAAGTTTATCTAGTAGGTGTGTAAGTGTCATTGAAAATCTGTCCTTTCCTGATTTAAATATTTTAAGTCCTTGCAAATGTTAACTAGTCTCATTTTCACTAGGTAATTTCCTGCATTAAAGATTGAGCTAATTAAGTTGCTAATCCCCAGCATTAACAAAACAGTGCCTCGGTCTCTTTCCTGAAACACTGCTATGTCAAACTCCCTTATTTTCAGTCATCTTCTAAATATGGCTTAGATGTTTTAAGCTCTTTTCAAACATGCCTTTATGCAAATTCAGCCTTTGTAAATATGTCATTTGTTTGCGTTCATTGAAGGAGGCATGGGCTATTCACCCCTTGGATTTTAATGACTGTCAGGTGTGGACTACACACTGACTTGCTTTCCTTTCTTCTTCAGCCCTTTCTACTCCCCAGAAATTCAAGTAATTTGGGGGTTTAATTACATATGGTCGGGAAGGTCCCTCATTATTTTAATATCAAATTTATGAGAAAGCAAATAGACCCAGTTGCAGCTTTCAAGATTCACAAGGAAAAAATAATCTATCTCCATTGATATAAGGCAGATATATAATTTTTTTTTTTCCTGGAGGTGAGATGAGAAAATTATGTAGGCTCATTTTGTAGATCCACACAAAGCCTAATGTCCTACTTTCTCTTCCTAATCATTGTTGTCTTTCACAAAGACTTAATTATTCTCTTCTCACCCTGAAAATTGAAAAATAATTTCTATTCACTGTGTTGATGAGAGTAGCTCAAGACATCATGTTTATAGTTAGTTAGAGTTTTACCTCTACCTGTTGTTCACCTCAGCACAGTAGCTATTCAGAATGAACATCTTTGCCTCTGGTCCCTTTTAGCAGCAGTAATGCAAGTGTTGAAGCAAGTGGTTAGAGCCTTGTCTCATCCACAGATCCACTGGTTTTCAACAAGATTACTACATACTAAATGTTCAGCAGCTGGAATTTGAAATAGATCCACTGAACTCCATGCTGGTGGGTCAATTTATACCAGTTGAGTCCTTTTCATTAAAACTATGAGCCTGCAAATGTTTCCAAACCCTGGTGCCATGTCACTACTTGATATATATCTACATTAATAAGGACAGGGGGTCATAAATGAAAAGTGTTAGGTACCTACAGCTACCCACATTGCTGATAATAACAGTGTCATTGACAGAAAATATTTCAGCAAAATTAATGTCTCACACTTGGCAAATTTAAGAAGGGCCCCTGGAGGTTTGGAGCAAAGAGCAAATTTAATGGGGAATTACACTGATGAATACTTTAATCGTTAATAAAACAGAACAAACCGCTACAGAACAATTATTTTATTTTCCAGGCATCCCGCCACCAAGGCATTTGAGATGCATAAACAACAGATTGGTGGTGGAGAACCATAAAACACTGATGGGAAGTGCTTTATGAACCATCTGTAAAACTGAAGTGAGAAGAAGTTGACCAGGGACTTGATTTTGCTTCCATTACCTGAGCACCCTCCACCCCACGGCAGCCAGACCCGGGTGGCACAGCTGGCTCACAGAAAGCTCTGGGGCTGAGCACATTTTATTTTCCAGCTGAGCAGAGAGGGCTCATGAGGGAGCAGGAGGGAGTCACGTCTCCAGAGCCTCAGCACACCAGGCAACGTGCCAGGGACAGCAAGCTGCCTCAGAGAAGAGGAAAAGCTGCTCTCTTCTTTCCCTCCCTGCTCCCTCACTCAACCCACAGCCAAGGAAGAATCAAACCCTGGAATAATGCAAATAAGAATGTGAACAGAACAAAATACAGAATCGGAGCCAGAAAACAAAGAATGAACAATTAGCTGCCACTGTGACAAAAATAATAAATAAATAAATAAATAATGTCACTGAGCAGCACTGTAGCACAGACAGGGCTATAATCCAAGTACTCCAGGGCAGCATTCTCTGTGTTATATTTTGGACCCTCTTCCTGACACCTTGAATGCCTTCAAAGTGCAGCAGGCACTGCTGGGATTTCTTTACTCGGCATTTCATTCAAACTCCCCTCTTTCATCTCCTAGTTTCACTATCACTAAGACTTGGATTGTGGGCCTGCCTCTCTTCCCAGCCCCACTCAAAATCTTCAAATTTCTGGTGACCCCAGGAACCCACTTATAGGATCACTCAGAGGTCTGCATTCCCCAGTTTCTGCAGGCAGGAAGGCAAGGTCCTCTAGGCTGTGGCTGCTGTCACAGAGGTCAAAATAAGGCATCTCATGGGAAAAAACAAATAGTCTGACTGCTTAATCAGAAACCCTCATGCTGGTTATCTTTTACACCTGAACATGTTTTGCAGTGTCAGTGTTTTGCCCTGGTGTGAGCTGCCATGGCCCCAGCTGTGCCAGCAGCAGAACCCGGCACAGGCACCGCTGGTGCCCGAACGCAGCCGCTGCATCGCCACCCCTCCGAGGGAAAGGCACTGGAGGGGGGACACACCTGCAGCCAAGGGCTCAGAGGTGTTTATGTGCAGAGCAGCCAAGTCCTGGGCTCAGTACTGGGGCTGAGATACTGTGTTTCCTGCCTTTATCCTGTTCTTGCCTTTATCCCGTTCTTTCTCCAGCCTGGAGACATTTTCCCCATATCCTCCTATGCCTGCCCATCTACCCTACATCTCTCTCAGGGACACCTACATGACACAGAGCCCAGACGTTTTCCTTTGCCTCCTGGTCTATCCTCACACCCTTCCCCCCTCCTTGTCCTGTTTACCAATTCCTGTCAAATGCCAGTCCCACCTGCTTTCAGGGTATTGAGTTGTGAGGCCATTCTGCCTTTGACAACTAACCCCCAAAGCCACACCATCAGCAGAGGGTAAGTATCTTGAATTAAAAAAAAAAAAAATTAAAAAAAAAAAGGAAATGTAACAATTGTAAATAGATTATTCTCAAGATGATTTCCAATCTCATTCTTTCACTGGAGGGTTTTGAATGCTGGGGCTCCCAACCATCACAGCTCTTCTCTGGTAATCTCACAATGCAACAAAAACACTTCAGAGTACTTTACAGACAGACTGCTTGTGAATGGTCTGCAACACTAATCTGAAGTAATGAACTGCTAGTATTTTGTTGAACACTTAGGGAATTGTGTTTACACATTACATAATCCAGGAATTTTTTTTTAATAAATTTAGGAGACTATATAATTTTAACTGAGATTTGATGTATTGCCTTGTCTGCAGCAACCACTGAACTGTATTCTAGCCCACCTTTTTACAAGCAGCTATCACTCCTTAGCCTGATGTCTTGCAAGACACCCAAAACTTCCCTTGATCTCAGTGACATCTCATCCCAGAGGAGGACACTGGTTCCACAAGAGAAGGGCCCTGTGGATCATAATACGTGGTGTATCATGACAGAGGAGTATTCTTTTCATTAGTTATTCTGCAAGAAAGGTTGGTTGTGAGTGGGCTACAGAACAGCAGCCTCCTCACAGAGTTTTTTGTAATGATAAATAACTAGGATC